AACTTGATGATTCTCATCATCAATAATAAATTCTGATAACATTGAAACAAACCCACTCGACAGAGGAAGGAAACATCCATAAACATTGTATGTGTAGCCAAACACACATTCATTTGTGAAAAGGTTGGAGAAAAAAAATCAATCGCAATACGACACAACTCCACTTGAAATGAGCACCAAGTATATTACAGCCTCTTCAGAGTTAGAATGATGTTTTTCATACGTCTATTTTTCGCATAGGAGTAGTAAAACTTTGTGTTAAGATCACTATGGAGAATCCAATTACACCTGTACCTTTACAACCAAATACTATCCTCATGCTCTAGAACTTGTTCAAGCTCCATTTCAACTTCGTCTCCAAATCCGAGAGGTAACAGGATTACTTGTTTTGGATAGCACAATCAGATCAAAACCTGAGACATTCCAATCGACTAGTTTAGCTTGGAGAGAATCAAGATTGGTTGATATAACCCTATCTGCGGACCAAGTGTCTCAAAACAAGCTTTAAAATTCGACATGTTTCTGCCACTCAAAGATGAACCGGAACAGTTTATACCCAATATTCAATTTTGCAAGCTTCAAACGAAAGATCAAAGGGAGATGATCTGATCTAGAGTGATCCAAATGAAAAACGGTTGAATCAGGATAAACGACTAACTAACAAAAATTAATAAGGCGACGATCCAACCTCTGATGAAGGGAGCCACAAGACCAAGTAAACAGTAATCCCTGAAAATCAATATCTAATAAAGCACAATCATCAACAAAATTGGCAAAACTACTAGTGCCCATACGTCCCATTGCACCTTCATCCTTTCATCTTGTTGGAGGATTGCATTGAAATATCCATCAAGAAGCCATGAGCAATCAGAACTAGGATGAGTTGCTCAAGATACGCTAAAGGTGCTTCCTGCAAGAAATATGAGGACTGCCATAGACAACCCTAATAAAAATAGGTTTGGAAAAACTTGTAGTCATAACAGAATACTGGATGAATTGATTTGAAATGGATAAAATATTGATTTGGACCTCGCAATACCAAAGAAGCCAAATACCACCGTTAAACCCCTGGGCTTCAACACGGGAGGAGTTTGGAAAACCAAACTTAGCAACCATAGAGTCAGCTTTAGAACCATTAACTATAATCTCCAGCAGTGCCACAAACGAAAGAAGTTCATTACAAACCAACTGTTTAAAATACTAATGATAAGTAGGACTGGTAGCCAATTGACTATTCTAAAAGAAACAATCTAACATAGAAAAAGAAATTATTGGATTTTTGGTGAACCTCCACCCATTGTAGCTGAAGAAGGTACCATATTAACAACACCCATATCACTCTAATTCTCTTTTTCCCAGGCTTCATGCCACTAGACAACCTCACAGGCTGCTCCATTATAGGATTCATGTTTAAAGAGATCGATTAAACCTAGTCAGATAGGTCTGGGTGCGCTGAGACCTTATGATTAAGATTTTTTTTATTCGAAGACCCTTCGATCGCATCGCTCCCCCATCTCTCAAATTTGGCTTCTCCTTAGTTCATTCTAAAATAGATTAGTACATTCTAAAATAGACACAACAGAGTGTTGTCCACTACGAATACTTGGTTCTCAGAATATAACCTACATCTCCTTGCCTTCTTTTAACGATTCTACATGTGCCCCAGCCACTCGATTAAGATCATCATTAGTGAGGACTTCATTTGTAGGTGTAGTTTGTAACACCCTAGACCAATACAATATACAGTCGACCGATTTAAGGTGCTACACAGAACTACCGAAGTGGTTGACCAACTTTTTCTTACTTTCTTTAAATATAAAACAACTGTAAAATAAACTGAAGAATAAATAAAACCTTTACAAAAATAATATAGAAGTTGTACTGAAACTACAACTCAACTGGATAATAAAGTTTACAAATATACATGCCCTTTCAAAAATGTTGAGACGTAATTTGAATCTACATTGGTCTTAACTGGATTTTAGTCTATCAGTTACTCCTCACCTACTGGATCTACTGACCTGCCCACGAAAATAATCCGAAGGCTGAGCTAACTAGCTCAATGACACACTAATAGTTAAAACATATTAACTACATATCACTGAAAGGCTAGCTATCAAGTCGACTGATCTGATATGCTTAGTGAATATCCTTGCAATATTCATTCTCTACGCTATTGTATACATCATAGTGCGGCTAAGGAATTTCTACATCTCGGAGCTCACAAACCCCTCTAGTCTATTGGGATATGGCCCCTGAAATTTCTGCATCAGACACCATACCCCTAACTAACCCACCCCTTGAGAGTGTCAGGTCTTGGCCTTAGTTAGTCGATTTTAAGGGCCTTGCTCCCTACTTAATGATATATCCAGACTGTATTTATACTTTTAACTCCACTAACTTTTCTAAAAGAACTCGAGTATCCGAATCGTTTTACGAGCATCAAACAAGGCTAGTCTTATTTGTCCCTAATTATTTGGTTTCTAATTTGAAAACATCAATTATGTTCTCACTTGTAGTCTTATTTGGTGGTATAACGAAGTGTTGGGGTACCTCGTGTCTAAATCCCTCAAAAACTAATTTTTTTGCCCAAAACAAACTGAAAGTATTGATACTATCGAAGAGTATCGATACTCTTGCAAAGGTTTCGATACTTTATATAAGTATTGATACTTTTAAACATTCTATTCTGCCTAGTTTCAATACTTTCTGGGAGTTTCGAAACTATGACCCAAAGTTCTGATACTCTTGAAAGAGTTTTGATACTCTTGCCCAAAAAACACGATTTTACCCAGAAACGAAGAACAAGTATCGATACTAACCCTATAGTATCGATACTCTACCTGCAAAAGTCATAAAACAAGCATGAAAAACTCTATTTTTCAATCCCAAACACTCTAGTGAGGTCCCCAAACATTCTTAAACTCTTATGTGATATTAAGGGAGCATAACTAAGGCTTAACAATATGCTAAAAACTTTAAACATAAAATCTACCATGGAAGAGTAATAAACCTGCTCATACCCAACTTTCAAGCTAAACTTCTATATAATGATCCTACAACTGGTATGGAAAAACTAATAGTGTGTTACCTGACCTCCTTGGTTTCTAAAACCTCTACCAATTCTACTAGGAATCACCTTTCCTTTGCTTCTAGCTTTGATATTCTCTTCCCCTTCTTTAGCTAATCATAGACAAATCTAAGAGTTACTAACTTGTTTTTGACTTGAAAACTATAATAAAAACATTCTATATAACTCAAATCCTCTCAACTATCTTAGATTCTTGAATTCTATAAACCATCCCATAAACTCATTTTCTAAAAATTTAACCAAAATATAGAAATAAAGCTTGAGAGAAGGAGAATAAGGGGTTGTTTGTTTACTTCAGAATGATTAAGCGCTGAATGATTCAAATGCTCTGTATGAATTAACTCTGATTGTGGCATATTGTTTGATAATGACTCTGAATCATTCAGAATATACTTCTGTTCTGAATCATTCAACATTGTTTTGCTGAATCAGTCAGCAATGAATCATTCAGATGTGAGAAACAAACAGTCTGAATGTTGAACGGTTCAGCATTCAACGCTAAATGGTTTCATTTAGAGACAAACAAACAACCCCTAAGACTCTTACCTTGGTGGATTCAAACAAAACTTAAATTCCTCAAGGCTTGATCTTGGTTAAGTAGAAGATTATGGAAAAGAAGAAAATGCGAAGATAATGTTAGGGGAATGGCTCAGTGAAAAATAAGGGAGATAAGGGGTTTTTAACCTTTAAGACAAGCTACGGGTAAACTACACCTTTAGTCTTTCTCCCTTTAACTCTCTTTTAAAAACATCACTATCCTTTACTATTTGGCCAACCTAAGCCCAATACCCTTTCTGAACTGGTTCAATTATCTTAAGAGGTCTAACTGTCTTGACTTACGAATTTTGGGTTAACTCGAACTACTGATCCGGGTTTCGAGGCATTACATAGTTGGAGTGACTTGCGGATTCAAAGATTCTAATAAGCTACTTGCACCAATCGTGCTCACACTTAGATTTCCTTCATCTTGATTTCCATTGCTCCCCAATTGAGTTATCGTTTGCTTGCCTTTATTTTTGTTGGCGTTCTTACTGTTTCGTGACCAAAAAAAAAAAACACTAGATTCCACAATAATCTGATTAGCAGCCTTGTTCCCATCCTCAATGACCAACGCATCAAGGACCACAAATTGAGAGCTGCCCCTAAATCAACATTCACACTAGTTTTACTTAACTTGTCACGTGGGCAACCTCGACGATTCGTTGCCAACATCCATAGGCTATAGAGATCGTCATCTACTTTGACTGAATGCCCTTCGTTAGTTTCCTGACCACTCGGAGGGATATTATCTTCCTTCGGTGCTTCAACCTCTTTTACACCGCCCAAGTCCTGCATGTGTCTATACACACCACATAAAAAACAAACGTTCTAGAATCCCTCATATCCCAGCTTATGAATAAAGTCGTCAATGCCAATACATGGAAGCAATTATTTTTTAAAATCAACAACCACTGCTAGATGTGCAAACTTCTCTCGTTCCCTCATATTAGTGTTGTAGTAGATTTTGATTACATTTCCTAGTTCAGCCGTTAAAAGACGAAACACTCATGCAAAACCCTAACGTACGCGAGTAAGAAAACTTTCTCAAAACCCAAAGCAAAAAAGTTATCTTAAACTATCATTTTTTTTTGTTCGTTTTAGTACCAGAATTTTGTAAAAAAATTTCAAAATTTAACGTTAATTTTTTAACGGGATACTAAAATAAAACAAAAAATAAACGTTAGATATGATTTTAAAAAATTAAAAAATTATATATTAAAACAGACCAAAACTGATAATTTAGATATTAAACATATAATTTACCGTAAAATAAAACAAATCCCAATAGCGATTCGAAGAAAATTAAAACTTTTAAACCCTCAAATAAGGTATTTTTAATGATTTTAGTGGTCTTCAGAAACCTCAACTTCAACTGGACCTTATTCCCCGAGCTCTCAAAAAACGGTAAGCTTCCTAGAGAAACAAAACCCACTGTTTTTTACAGCACCCAAACAACAACGATAAACATATGCCATTTTCATGTTCTTGATTTATAATTACATTCGTTTATTTGTTTTTCATTCATGGTGTATCCGTTCAAGAGGTACGTGGAGATCGGGAGAGTGGCTCTGGTTAACTACGGAAAGGACTATGGGAAGCTCGTTGTCATTGTCGATGTCGTTGATCAAAACAGGGTTCGCCATGAAATTTTACCTTTCCATTTTGTCGGTTGTTCGGTTTTTCATTTTTTTTCCCAGTACATTGCAACTAAAATTTAGATGTGATGCAAATGTTTGCTGAAAATGATTACCATTGTAGCGGAAGCGGAATAAGCTGTAATAGTGGCTTTGTTAATGTGATGTAGGCTCTTGTTGATGCACCCGATATGGTGAGAAGTCAAATGAACTTTAAGAGACTAACTCTCACCGATATCAAGATTGATATTAATAGGGTTCCTAAGAAGAAGACCCTGATTGATCCTATGGAGAAAGCTTGTTGGTGTTAAATTTCTAAACTTTGAAAATAAAAAGGGCTGTTTTTTTATTCATAATTGTTTCTTGTAACTTGGTTTATAATGGTGCAGGTGTGAAGAACAAGTGGGAGAACAGTTCATGGGGCAGGAAGCTGATCGTACAGAAAAGACAGGCATCTCTTAATGATTTTGGTAGGTTCAAACTCATGTTGGCAAAGATTAAGGTAACCACATTTTCATATTTTTCTTTTTCATTACTATGCTATGCTTTCCTTCTTATAAAAAATGCTATGCTTTCCTTGTTTTTCTGTATGTTGAGTTTTGGGTGGTCTTCAATGTATCAAAGACTGGCATTATGCTTGGTATTCTCTTTCCTATCCCCATTGTACATTTCCACAACTATTCCATTCTATGTTTATTAAGCTAATTGAGTAGCTACCGATAACCATGGAACAATAAACTGTTAAGGGCATTGTAAGCATTGGTTCCGGAATATATAGATTTCAAGTGTTTTTCCTGACATTGATCTCCGGATAAGTCTAATGGCATGAAAAGTCCATTTTTTCTCCTTATTTTAATGATTTAAAGAAGTTTGGGTCTTGAATAAAGTGTTGGGAGTTTAGGACTTTCGGAACCTTTTTGGCACAATCAATACATATCTTCAGTTTTCCAAGTTAAAGTTGCCCCTTTGGTAACTCCATATATGTTGTAGCAGTCGGATATATCGGCTTGATTGTAAACTTTTGTTTTCAATGTTTGGATCTCTTCTGTAATATAAATTGTAGCCTGAATTATAAGATTTCCCGATCCTGACGAGTGTGTACTTTGTTTTGTATTGCAGAAAGCCGGAATGGTTAGGCAGGAGCTGGCTAAGCTTAAAAAGGAGATTGCGGCTTAAAGCTCTCTTCCATTTAGCCTCTAATTGTTGCACATTTCAGTTTTTTATTCAGTTTGAGATCTTCCAAACCTAGCCAGACTTTTTTTTTTCTTGGCATAATTATTATTGACTCTTGCTATCAAACACAAATAGTAGTAGCTGAAATTGTTTGTTGACTTTTAGTTGACTCATTTTCACAAGTTTTTACACCCCTTTTTATATAGATGCCCTAAGCTAAGAATAGATAAAAGAAACAATCCTAGATACAAATTCAAAGCTGTTGGATGCTTCCTTCCTACAAGGATCAACTTGTCCAATGCTTGGTAGCACTACAACATTTAAAAAGTCTAAAACGCTCTAATTTTTCTTTGCAGTAATTCAACTAAAATATGAGATGTCTTTAATGCTGTCTAAAACACTTACAATGGCCACAAATTCTTGAGGGGAGTGGGTGAACGATGGAAAAAAGTTTGGGACATGATGAGGGAAGTGGCATGAACTGTAGCAATTGCAATGGATCCTGGGTGATATCCCTTATACACAGTTGCTAGCAAGCTTGTTAAAACAATGGCTTACGGTTGATATACTACTCTCCATCATTTCCTAATTGAGAGAAGTTCAAAACTCCGAAGATGGTGATCATCACGGCTTCCTCTACCAGAGGCGGCACGACTAGATGGTTTGACCTCAAAGGCGTGTTGGATTTTTTGCGTGGTAGACAAGCGACCATCACTTGTTGATGGTTGGTTTTGTGGAATGTCATTGGGTTTGCCGGATGAACTAGGCATTTTTGTTGCTACAGCTCTTCTTGAAGTGCTAACATATTGAGAAACGCTTCTTTTACCTGAATCAGGGTGCTGGGAATTGCAAACCAACAAACAATCAGAACGTGGAAGATGAGCCAAAACCAAAACATAAAAGAGAGATGAACAGAATTAAAAGAAAATTCCAAATTGACAGAATTTATATCTTAGTACCAGGCCACCTAAAACGTATCAAAAACAAAATTAAGGTAACGAATAAATGAGAGATCAGTGTTCATTATATGCCTATTGACCACACAGCGGTGCTATTTCAAATGTGCATTTGATACTACTCTTTAATCTCCTAATTCTAATCCAGAGTTTGAGATGAAAGCCAGCACGTTTGCAACTTAGCATGGCTATTATATGAAATAAAGTAGAAACAGGAGGATACGAAGTCAGAACTTGAAATAAAAAACAGAAGGGATATTAAATGTGGGTTTAGAGTTTTGTCATAGTACTGCTAGAAAGGAAATTGGTGGCTAATAAGCTTTACAGCTGGTAAGAATTATTCTCTAGAAAAGATTCACACAATAATGAAGTCCACAAAGGAAAATCTTTGACAGAAAATTATAGCTCACCACATGCTTGGACAAAGTTACATCCTCGGCAGTTTTGCTTCTAGAATGATCACGACGAGGACTAGTAATTGAAAAATTTCTTTTGGAAAAAGCTTCAGTTGCACCAGAGAATCTATCCTGAACCTCTCTTCCCACTGAACGTTGATGTCGAGGGGAATGACCCATAAGGGAGATCAAAGACAGAAAGCAAAGAGGTTATTATTAGTATACCACAATACTCGGCAAAAGCAACAAAATACTATTCTGAAAGACAAAACAAAATTTGTCCTCATCGAATATTTAAATTCCAAAAATAAGGTTTGATTATAGAACCTAAGAATCTTTTTGGTTTTTCGATGGATGGTCCTGCAGCTAAACCTGCCCTTCCACTGGCATGCTGAGAAACAGATGGGAAAAGCCGTAAATATTCCAAAGGTGGAAGAAACCAAGAGCCTAGAAGTTTATAAATACTTACTGAACTACTGCCAATCTGGGGGTACTTCAACACAGTCCAGTCAAAGACATAGTCAAACTGATAACCTGCAACAATGTGAATTTCAGAACCACGAAAAAAAATTATAATAACTAATCATTATTAAGGAAGCCACAATCATAATAACAAACCTTCTCTTATAAACAAATCACGGAAAAGCCTCTTCAAATATGAATAATCGGGTTTGTCTTCAAATCGCAAAGATCGACAATATTGAAAATAAGAAACAAATTCAGATGGATATGACTTGCAGAGCACCTGTTGAATACATATATGCCATTGTTACAAAGCAAGGGAACAAATATAATAACCATATGATGGATTAACACTAAATTTTGGGATTAAAAACCAAACCTTTGTCAAATCATACAACAAATTTCCATATGCCAGTTAAGCTAAATTAAATTTCACTATAACAAACATCACTGAACTAAATAGGGAATTTATCCTTTCAAAAACATTTGTGGAAATAGCAATTATGGCCCAAAATTCAAATTGCTTTAAAAAGTTTATATTATTTATCAGATATTCCACAAAAGGGGGAAATAGGAGAATACAAAGATCAGGCCAGGTCTATATAGGTGAAGATGAGGCCTTACGCAAGCACAAGCAATCCAGATATCAGTGATGTCAGTAAATAAAATTTCTTAAAGGAAACAAATTAGTCAATGGATGGCATAAGTAATAATACCTCTATAGGAGTTGATACTTTCTTTTCACTAATCTTATCATATTTTTGCTTTTTTGTGCCAGCTTTTAACCCCTGCCATGGAAGGCTGAAACAAAAGAATAGTTCCAATTGAATAAAAAATCAATATGGTGCAAACTAAGAAATGAAGATTCAGTAAAAGTAACAACATTATTTAAAAAAAGAACATTTAAGATGCTCATGTCAAAACTTTATACACCAACCTTCCTCTTAGAAAATACAGAAGCACATAACCAAGGGATTCCAAATCATCTCTTCGGCTTTGCTCTGTCAGTAACATTGAAGAATGTAACTTAATAAAAGAAAGAAGAAAACATGCATCCATAATATATTGTTTACTGTTACTAGTTGGAACTTGGAAATGACTCACCAATGCCAAGGTGAGTGTTCACACTAGCATAACGAGCTGTGCCTGTGAGGTTCTTGTTTTCTCTGCAGCAAAGAACTTGATTAGTTGCTTTCTCTATAAAATCTTGAGATCTTCAGGACTGAATTTCTATATTAAGAATCGAGAGAGAAATAATCACCTGTATGGAATATGCTTATGAGTCTGAAGATCCCTATACTTCTTTGCAAGGCCATAATCAATGATAAATACCTGTTGAAGTAAAATTAAAAATGAAAAATGATATCAGAATGTTTCAAACTTTTGGTGTTAAATGAAGTCCTATTACAAACACTAGTATAAATGATAATATTTTTAGCATAACTAGAAATTAAAAAATAAAGGTGGTTGTGCTAGCAATCTAATCCATATGCACATGTTTTATTTGCCAACGTAACCTACCAAAATAACTAGTACCTGATTTGCCTTGCGTCCAAGGCCCATCAAGAAGTTGTCAGGCTTTATATCACGGTGAAGAAAACCCCTCGAATGCATATATTCTACTCTATTAATCTGGAGGGGGGAAGGTTAAAAAGGGGGAAATTAAATAATAAAAAACCTCAAAAACTAATTCTTTACCACAAAAAAGTCATTTACCAATTGATCAGCAAGCATCAACACTGTTTTCATCGATAGGTTCCTACTGCAGTAGTTGAACAAATCTTCCAAACTGGGTCCAAGAAGGTCAATTACCATGACATTGTAATCTGCCTCAACTCCAAACCACTTGAGGTGGGGAATACCCGCTGTACCAAGGTGAATAAAAACCAAGTTATTTAACAAAAACATTAACAAAGTTTTAGAGACTTGAGTTGATAGCACATGATAATGAAAGAAGACTGCTATGGCCTTTCAAAAACAGCAGCAACCAAGGCTTAAGATCAATACTAAATTTACTGAAGACTGATTTAAATGTAATAGCAGAAGGAAATTAATGGATTCCATCACATCAGAGATTGAATGTTTTCCTTACAGGTTGTTTTCTCGTACGGTGCTAGTGCAGTTGAAAAGGCTAACCCACAGAAGACTACAGTCAAATTATAATGTGGTACAAATCATTTTTCCTGACACACAGACTCACAGAGGGAGAGCAAGGCAGGGAGACTTACTTCCTCCTTGAAGAAGCATATACAATTTTGACTCATAATGAAGCTGTGGATGCCTGGTTTTCACAGATTCCTGAAATTAGAAAAAAAGAGGGGGTCAAGGTCATTCCTTTCAAAATCACACCTAAAGGCTAAACCATGCATTCTCACATGAAAAGAACAACACCATATATGATTTCACAGAGGGTAGTGTAGATTGGAATTTGGAACAAAGTTGATAAATTGTCTACCAAAATTACATTTAAGCAATAATAATTTTAAACATCTTTGCTATCATAAGGAAGTCTTCATTTCCTAATCCCTACAAAAACACTCTTATTCTTCAAAATGGAAATTGAATGAACATAGCTGTATATGGAAAACAAGTTTCTTCTCTTAACACAAATTAAGAAAAACATTCGCAAACTTACTTCTATTTTATGAGAGAGAAAAATCACTAAAAAAAACCTATTTCTTATCATGTTATTACTCAATATCCATACCCCGTAATACAATGTAATTAAAGTCCAAAGGTTAACAACAGAACAAAAAAATGAAGAAAAAAAGGATAAGCAAGAATAACTGCCAACAATGATTCTTTTCTTTCCTTTTTTGGCATTTTGTTTATTTGATGCAAACGGTTGTAAACGTTGGGACTCGACACCAGTCCACCAGAAGCAAGTATATTATAAACTGAAGAATGCTTTATTTAATTCAAAGACCAAAAATTCTTCATTACCATTTGGCAAACACAGCCACAAGTAATGCCAACAAAAAGACTGAAAAAAAAAACTCAATGACGTATCACCTACCAGTTTGACAGCAACTTCCTCTCCGATTTGCACATTTACCCCTTCACAAAAAAAAATATCAGAAGAGAGAGAGATACGATGCATACAAAGCAACAAGCCACATTTTCCAGGAGGAGGAGGAGGAAAAGGGCATTAAAGTGGTTGAGATTATTATACCTAGATAAAGCTCTCCAAAAGAGCCACTCCCAATTTTTCTTCCAAGCTTGAACTTGCCACCAATTACACGATCCATCTTAAGCCACAAATATAAAAGCTACTCTTTAACAATACCGAATGCTTCCCAAAAGAGATTAATCTAATCTGTTTTAACTCGATTTCTGTCAAATTCAGTGTTTATAGCCCCTCAAACCAGTACCCTCAAAGCTTGGGAGATTTACTAAATTCATAGAAAATTTCCAATATATCAATTGAAGGGGAAAAAATCCTTTATCTTCGTCAATAATCAGCAAGGGCAAAACCGCCACAATAAAAAATCCGAGCTTCTGAAAAAAAAAGAACAAGAAGACCAAAAATGAAATCAAATTCGAAAGATGATGCCCAGGAAAGGCAAATGGAAAGGAAGAAGCTTTTATGATAATGATTATCGGAATTCAGAAAGACCTCAGTTTCCTCAACTTCATAGCCGTCATAGCTTGACAGCAAAATCCCCCGAATTTTGCAAAGGAAACCCTAATTTGGGAAGGTGAAGAAAAGCTAGATTTACTTTAGAAGAAGAAGAGGAATCAATATGCAAAACCAAACACCCATATGTAATCAAATAAAAGAAGACGGCTGACAAAAAATGGCCGAAAACAGCGAATCAAATAAAATAAGAAAAAATGTTATTTTTCTTTCTATCTTTGGGATAAAAATAAAACAAGAACAGTCAAGAAATAGTTTTGAGCAGCTGTTCGTTGAGGAGGAAAGACTATTGAAAGAAGGTGAAAGGCCGATGATTTAGGAGAAAAGATAGGAAAGTGAAACGGTAAAGGAACAGAAGCTTTATATAATGGCATTTGTTTTTTAGCGTAAATTATAAATAATCATTAAATTATGCTAAAATAATTATTTTAATAATTAAATTTATTAAAAATATAAAATAATTATTGAATTTTTTATTTTATTATAAAATGACATTACATTATTAATTGTGATTAACTATTATTACAGTAAAATTTTGATAAAATAAAAATTTCTCTAAATAATAATTGTTCTTGGTTTAATTTGAGTTTAAGGTCTAAATTAATAATTTTGATAGATTAATAAAATAATAATTTTTAGAAGACTCTTTTATAAATTTACATTGCCTTCAATCCTATAAATTAATAATTTTATAAAATTATAAATATAACTAGGACAACCTATAAAAATATTTGATGTTTTTATATGTTAAATAAAAAAATGTCTAAACTATGTCTAAAAAAATATTTTAGTGTCTAAAGAATTTTTCACTAAAAATATATGCATAATGTTTCTAAAGTTATACATTTAGGTGCCCACTGTTAAAATAGTCATTAACTGACCGTTAAGCGAAATGTGTCACGTTTTGATAATTTTGAGAATTTATTTAAAAATAAAAAAAATATTTTTTGAAAAAAATACTGTACCCCCACCGTAAACTCCCTCTCCCCCTCCTCTTGCCCCCTACAATAGGTCGTCGGCCAGCCGCTAGTGACCATCATCGCAATTATTATCGGCACCGGTGTCGACCTCGGATCAAACCCCTAGTAACCTTTCGCGGTAAGTTATCACCGTTTGCCGTAGAGAAATATTCGAAGTTTCGTCAGATTTTAAACCACTGTCGCTATTTTTCGTCGATTTAGGTCAATCCTGAAGTTCATATGTCACGCCATCACCACCATTCAAACCATCATCTAATTTCGCTCAAAACTCATCCTCGTCGGTAGGGGTGTGCAAATCCGGGTACCCGGATTTTCGGGTACCCGATTTTCGGGAACTCGGAACTTCCGGGTCGACGATTTCTCGGCCCGTGTCCCGATCCGGATGTTACGGGTACCCGGTAATCAGATACCCGGATTTTGTGGGTACCCGGTAATCGGGTACCCGATACCCGGTTTTTAATTTTTTATTTTCAAATTATTAATTTAAAAAAATATATACACAAATTTAAATGTTCGAAACTTCGAATTACATACTCTAATATCCAAACATAAAATTTAAAAGTTCAAAATACAAAATATAATAATCCATAATATAAATAATTTATTATATTTTATATAATTATATATAAAAAAATAAAAAAAAATAAAAACTAACCGAGTACCCGGTTACCCAGGTACCCGGAAAAACTAGATTTTGTGACCCGGGTCCGACCCGGGAAATGTCGGGCCGGGTACCCGACCCGGCCGGGTAATTTTTTTTAGAGAATTACCCGGTTTTTTAGATCCGGGTCTGCGGGTCGGCGGGTCGGGTCAACCGGGTCGGGTAATTTTGCACACCCCTACTCGTCGGTGCTCCTCCGATGTTCCACCATGGTAACAGGGTTGAAATGAGATATTTTAGTTTTTTGAGTTTTTTTTATAATTTCATTAAAAGTTTGGGGTTCTTTTGTAAATAAATTATTTTTTATAAAAAAATTTATTTTTCATTAAAAATAATATTTTTATTATTAAAAAATTAAAAAAATTAAAAAAATAACATTGAACACCTAAAATTGTAACTAAAAACACTTTACGCACCAATTTTCAACGAAAAAGTTTTTAGGCATCAAATCATTTTTTGAGATAAAATTGACACCTATTTCTGTATTAAACCTTGTTTATATAGTAGTTGATTTACTTATCATATATGAACTTGCATTTAGTTTATTGAATAAAAAATCTTTTTAAATTAATAAATTATTAATTTATCAATTAATTAATACCTCTTTAAATTAATAAAATTATGTAGTCCCGATATTATTAGTTTATAGAAATTTACTGTAAATGAATTATATTAAACTAATAAATAATTTTTTATTTGAATTTTTAGTTATATAGTTTATTTAAATATTTTCCCATTAACTTATAAAAATTAAAAAAAATATTCAGAAAATGTAAAAGTATATAAAAGTATATAATTTGCTTTTAAATTTTAAAAAATATTTAAACGAAGAAATTTAGTTTTTTTACAAAGCACAAATAACGCTTAACTATTTGACATTGAACGCTCACACCTCTAGTATTTTTAGTGCTCGAGCTCAAAACCTTAATAAATAACAATAATTCTTTTACTATAAATGTCGCTTGGTTCGTGCTACCAATCGAGATAAAAATATCTTGTAAAAACCATTTTATTGAAGCTATGCCGATATCCAGTTTATTGGCTGCTCAAACCCCACTTTCAGTGTAAGAATAGATAAAAAGGATTTTACGTTGGGTAAAATTTTAAGATAACAAATCTATAAAATTTTAGCAACTAAATGACCTCAAGCGATCATGTATGCTCGGCCCAAATATCTTCAAATAATCGTTATTAATCTTTAAGGTCTCATATTGAAGCATAAACAATGATACGAGCATTCAATATCAAATCCTTGAAAGTCTCTAAATAAATGTAACATTATATTCATTTGAGATTAATAAAAAATAAAATAATTTCAAGAGATACAGTTTCAACCGCTCTTTCGATCCACTTCTATTTTAGAGGCTGCGCAAACTCCGGTGGTTGGAGATCGGCTTCTTCCACCATTGCCCTTGAAGTTGATGACCTCAGGTTTACCTATTATGAAATCACTTCAAACCTCATTACTTATTTGACGGGGCCACTGCATGCGTTGCACACGCTAATGCCTGGTCAGGGGTGTCGGCGCTTCTAAAAGTTGACTGATAGTTGGCCGACACCGCGCCTTCATTCTTGATTTCCTTGTTTACATTGCTCAAACAAGTACCTTGAAGCTCTCAATTCAAGATTGAGAAAACATGTTTAATATTAACTGGGACGTCCTTTTCGTCCAATTCATCGGACACAATTTCAAAGTCCCACCAAGAGACAATCCTAAGCTGCATCATTCCTGAATCAATGATTGAGAAACAGAAAGCATCGACAAGCGTATATCAACCTAACTACTTTAATAAAAGAAAAGAAAGAAATACTCAGGCTTTCATGTTCACTGGAGTCTTGCTATAATGAAAAATTTTGCTGTGAATTACTTGATTGGATTATACTAAATATAATCGACCTAATTGGTTAATTAGGGTCTACTATTTGTCCCCACAAGTGAAATCAAACATGGTGAAATAATAGAGTCCCAACTAGAAGGTCTAAGAATGTTCCACCGTGGGAGAGGTCTTCGCTCATTCAATGTGATTGCTTAATGCTAAAAAATGACATGTATAATAACACACAACAAAATAGATATTAAAACTTTATATAAAAAAATTTGAAAAAATTATAGGTAGAAGATAGAAGCTTTCATTAATATCGAAAATAAAAGAATATAGAAGGAATTCTCATAAATAATCTAATATCTAACCCTAATCTCTAGTATATATTTATAAAAACAATTATTTGATTACAAAGAGAACTTGCATAACAAGAAACCTACTCAAATTATGTTTCCTACCCTCAGTTAACATAAAATAAAATAGAGCTCTCACTTTTTTCAATCAATTTTTTCAGATCAAACTAACATCGTAAGCATTGCATGATATTCAGGATGAACACCTGCTGCGTCCATGAAATGACTCACGGAGAGTGAGCGGTTTTGATAAAAGGGGAGAGAGATTGTTGTGAAAGCTTCATTCTATGAGCTTCTTCAAGATTGCAAACCGAAAACACACTCCAAAAGAAGCATTACCAAGCTCGAACCCCGCTTGCCTAACCTACTTAACCCTCTACCGTTCCCTCCATTTTCACCGCAGCATCCATATAAAAACTTCTTATTGTTTTCCTTTGACTAAAATCACTTATCAGTTACGAGGCAAAGTTGTGTCTGCAATCATTGCTGGTCCTGGGGGTGGGGGAATTTTGGGAGCAAAACATCTGTTCAAGAAGTTATAGCAGGTGGCGTCAGCTCTAGGCTAACCCTATTCAGACCATCTCAAGGCATGCAAAACTCTTTAAACATGAAGAAAAAATAGAAAAGAACTGAGAGCAGAGTCAATATCTGACTCGGTGCTAAATTGTGAACATATTGCGAAGGAAAGCATGTATACATGATGGTATGATACGACTTTAAGAGTATCTTTGTACAACATTTCTGCCGCCTTTGACATAACTCTTTTATTTTTATTTTCCTTTTCAATTCTCCTGTTTGTTTTGATCTCTGTCGTA